CATATGGAAGAGGAATATTCTTATGTCCCTCTCCATGATAACATAAGTTTCCTAACAAGAATGTCCTGATTGGTGTTAATGTCTATTTGTCTAGCACCTTGCAGTTTGTAAGGCCCAAGAGCTTTGATGCTGGAGAGATCTAGGTTCGAATTCTGCCCCAGTCACTTCCTAGCGCTGCATCTTTAGAAAAGTTACTTAACTTCCCTGAGTGTTTCCTCATCGGCAAAAAAGGCATGAGTGTACCCATATACCTCACTGCGTCACTGCAAGGATAAGATGACATAAGAAGCCACACAAAGACAAATCTTCAGAGCAATTTAATTTGTAATTACCCAAAACTGGAAAAGACCCCAAATGTCCATCAATAGGTGAATAGAAAAACCAAACTGTGGTACATCCATACACGAGAATACTACTCAGTGATAAAACAGGAGTGAACTGCTGACACTCCAAACACCACCAATGAATCTCAAAATAAGCCAGCTGAATGGAAGAAGCCAGACCAGGCTATTTAGAGAAAGTTGTATAAAATACAATCAGTGACAGAAGGAGCAAAGGAGAGCAGATGATTGGCTGTCTAGGGAAAGGGGTTGGAAAAGGGAGGGATTACAGAGGAGCATGAGGAAGCCTTTGGGGTGATGGAAAGGTTCTGCCTCTTGACAAGATGATGGTTCTGTAGGCTTAAGACTACATGCAGTGTCATGGGCTTAAATTATACTTCAACAAAGTTGAAAAGTTAGGGGGAAAAATCAGATCAGGAATATAATGCCCCATCACAGGCCTTGGCACATAGTAGGCTCTCGACAAATGTTGGCTCCATTCTGGAGCAATTACAAATAATCCCATTAGAGCTTCTGGAAAATAACTTGAGAGGCTGCCAGAGAAACAAGTCAGCACATGTAGCATTTACTCTGAAGGTTTATTAGAATTTAACTACTCAAGACACGCTATGCTCAGCTAGGAGGCGTGAACGAGAATGTCATCAAAAGATGAGCCAGGCTTGGTCTTTGCTCTCAAGGAAACACAAATGAGTGTAATCTGTGATGTAATAAAGTGTCATAGGATGACATTGACAAATGCATACAGAAAAAAGGAATTCTGACGGGATTGATGTCAAGAAGAAACAATTCCAGGTGGGTGGGACTCTGGTAAGCAGGGAGGGGTGCGGCAGGCCCTGTGCTCCTCGGGAAGCTGGGACGTGAGGGTCCTGGGCAAGGGCAGGGTGAGGGGAGCAGGCAAGGCCAAGGGCCACAGCACATGTCCTCCCGGAGACAAGTTGGGGGAGGGTCCACAAAAGGCCAGACCAAGCTGAGAAAAGCCCTGAGCACCAGCAGGGAGCTCCATTTCATTCATCCAGGGGAACCAGCCACAGGGTTCAGCATGATCAGATTTGTGTTTTACACAAACAGGTCCTATCTGAAGGGCAATTTGGTAATTTGTCAAGAGTTCTGACATTCGTATCTTTCAATTCAGTAATTCCTGAGGAAATAATCAGAAATGTGCACAAAGATTTATGTCCAGCACGGCTTATCACGACATTATTTATAATAGCACAAAGCCCCAAAATAACTTAAATGTCCAATAAAAGGGGACTGCTAAATAAATTATGGTATGCTGAGCAATTAAATCATGTACAGCCATTAAATCATATTTGTGGAAGATATGGAACAACGGGGCATGCCTCACTATACACCGTTAAGTTGCAAAAAAGCAGGATACAAAAATATACATTGAGTATTCAACAAATATTTATTAATGTCTACTATGTGCCAGGCGCTGTTTTAAGTACTAAGATCCTGCCAAGGATAAAACAGACACAATCAGTGTTCCACCTACTAATGAAGGAAAGTAGACAACAAATGAGCAAAACATACAGCACGTAAGAGGGTAAGAAGTGCTACGGGGAAAATCAAGAGGGGAAAGGGGTGGGGGGTTGGAGGTAGGTAGAAATTTAAACAGGTGGTCAGGGAAAGTTCCACAGAGAAGGGGGTTAAGAGTTTGAGCGAAGGGTATATCTGGGAGGACCCCTAGGCAGAGGAAACGGGCACTGTGCAAGCCCTGAGGAGGCCTGCGGGCTTCGAGAAACAGCAAGGCTGCAGTGGCAGAACGTGCAGGACAAACGGCAGGACAGTGAGCACAGAGGGAAGTCGGCGTCACTCGGGGTGAGGGGACCCATGGCAGGACTTTGAGCAGAAGGGTGATGTAAACTGTAGGGGGACAAGGGCAGAAGCAGGGAGGCCAGTTGGGATTTTTTGAATGTTTTCCTAACATCTTATAATGGGTATATGTTCATTTTATAATCAGAAGAAAAGGTAATTCAAAGAAAACACAATGCAGAAAACAGTGTGGGTGCTATGACTGGAGCACGAGGAGCAGAGAGACAGAAAGGAGGTTAGAGAAGCAAATTAGATGGTGGTGGTGAAGCAGTGGGGAGACGCAGGGGTCAGCAAAAATGACTCTTCTTAATAACAGAAGAAATACATGGCAATGCAAAAAATACGGGCAAAAGAAAAAAAGAATTGGGCCATAATAGCAGCACCCTGACAATCAATTTTTAACATTTGGTATATTTCCTTCCAATCTTTCTTCCTACACATGCTTTTGTTTTTTCCTTAATCACTTTACAATGCCTAGAATGTTGTGGGCACTCAAATACTCGCTGAACAAATAATGGTTGACCGGACGCTCCAAATAATTTTGTTTTAGATTTGTTCGTGTTACGTTAGCTCTATTATAGGCGTTTTCAGAAGTAGTTTTAATAGGGTTGGGTGACGGAATGGCAATTGTGGGTGAGGAGAAGGCATGGTGAAAGAGCACTAAGGTGTGAAGTCTGGCTATTTAAGAGGGTGGTGGTGACATTATTCATCAAGGGCACCAAGCAGAAAGCAACCTAATGAGGAAGCTGCTGGGTTCAGTTGGGGGGGGCTTGGAGGAGTACACAGAAGAACCCCCCAGGGACGCCCAGCTGTCTATCTCTCTTAGGGCTCAGGAAGCAGGGGGAGCCTCAGCATGGAGGTGGTCAAAACAGAAGTAGCCCAGGACGGGGAAGAGTAGGACTAGTAGCCCTACTGTGCACCAGACATTGTGCTAAGAGCTTCAGGTATCTTCCCTCTTCTAATTGCAGCTGCCCTGAGGTGGATTTGCATGTGCTCATTTGATAGCTGAGGACCCTGCAGGCCTAGCGATCTGCCCAGCAACTCCACAGCATAGTCAGGACCGACACCCACCGCCATGAGGCCTTGTCCCACTAGTTCTCTTTTCTGTTACTAGAAGCTTAAAATATACTCAGAACCCAGGGAGGAAGTGTCATGAGATGCTCTAGTTTTGTAGCACCTGGTTTCTGCACATGACTTCCAGGGACCGCTGGCGCCCCACCCCAAAAGGAAGAATGCTCCCTTCCTCTCCCAAAAACATACTGTACACGATTTCCAAATTGCAATTTTAACGTGTTGAGTTTGTTTGTTTTTTCATGTGTACGAGCCGTCTCCGCCTCCAGGTAAGAAACTCCAGGACACCCTTTCCCTGGAGCACCAGCCCAACACTCTGCAAAGTCTGTGCTCAGCAAATGCTCTGAGAGGAAACCACTGACCATCGCTTCCTGTCACACCAGTGCCCTGGGACTCTGGTGGGGGTAGGTCGCCCAGATACCCTCGAGCACAGGAGAGGCAAAGCCAAGCCCAGGTCAACAAGCACTCTTGGAAGGTGGCAGAACAGTGAGCAGGTGAATTTGGTGGGATGGGCAGATCAGTAGGAGGAGATGAGGCAAGTTTTCCTTTCCCCACAGCCTGGCATCAAACAGGGTCTGCAAACAGGCTGGCCCCTGAGCCAAACTCAGCCCACTCACAGGTACTAGTTGGCTCACTTATGGTTTTAATTTATCATTTTAATTTGTTGCCATATTTTAAAATGTGAAAGGGTTTCACATAAATATGGATTTCTGTAAGCAGTCCCGTGGACAGAGGCACCCTTTTGAGTCCCACAGCCCTCTACCCTGCCCACCTCCCCAGTATGTCCTTGT